ATGCCCCCTGTGCTAACAAGCTCACCTCTGACTGTCATGTGATGAGAACAGAGCTTCCATCTTGTTGAAGTCATCAAATGGGGGAGGAGAGGGCTTTTTATGATGTGACGATAACCTTTTACATTACAGAGAAACTGCTGCCAGAAGGGACATCTCAACAGGAACCTGCATTTTCTAGTGTCCAGGCTAGCATACAGCCAGAACACAGGCAAGAGGACAGAGCAAGGTGTCTGTTTCACTCTGCTTGTGATGGGACACCAGGGAGGGGTGATACCCCCAACCACAGCGACACAATGTGTCTGAAGTGCTGTGTGCTAGGTGGAAGGCTGGTGGCTCGCTATTTCATACAGTTGCTGCCCACAACAGCATGGAAAGCAGAATATTTGCAATTCCAGGGGATAGGATTGTAAAAAGTACCAGTGTTGGTGTATTTCGCTGTACCCGGCTTTTAGTCAGGTGCCATAAGAAACAAGTTCAGGCAAGAGCTGTTTGCTTCATAAGCAGAAATGGAAAAAGATGAAAATTTTCAGAAATTTGGAGCTTGCTAAAGTTGAGAAAGACAGATACTTTTATGTCTCACACATTAATAAAAATCTGAGACTTGACCCTCCCCATGGCAAGGGTCAGAGAAAGGGTACTGTCCTCCCAAAGGACATACCAGGACATGTCACAGTGGCCTCCACTAAGACAAGAGTGAGGGTGACACAAAGAAGCAGGGAAATAAAGCAAGTGGCTCAAGGACCAGAATGACTTTTTCCATTTCTGCTTATGAAGCAAACAGTTCTTGCCTGAACTTGTTTCTTATGGCACCTGACTAAAAGCCGGGTATGGTGAAATACACCAACACTGGTACTTTTTACAATCCTATTCCCTGGAATTGCAAATATTCTGCTTTCCATGCTGTTGTGGGCAACAACCGTATGAAATAGCGAGCCACCAGCCTTCCACCTTGGCTGTGGCTTTCTGCATAAGGAACTGACTAGAAGCAATCAGACCAGAGACCTGTGGGACTTTAAGGAGGTTTCAAGAAAAACTTGTCACCACAAAAACCTTGAGCCTGGCAGGAAAATGCCTGGCTTTGTTCCTTGGTGCAACACCAGACATTTACATCGTGCAAGAAAAAGCTCATGAATGGCATAGCCCCCAAAGAGGGCATGTGCTGTACTCTAACAGGCACTGCAGTGATGGGCAGGGCCAACTACAAAGTGGTCCTTCCAAGAAAGCAAATGGCTTAGTCACTTTCCCATCACAGGGACACAGTACTGGACACTCACTGCTTAAAGAAAGAGGACTTATTTTGGCTCCTGGTTTCAGCCCGTATGTGGCCACCTCCAAGGCAGGAAGGGCATGGTGGAGGGGTCTGGCAGAGGCAAGCGGCTCACCTCATGGTGGCCAGAAAGCCAAGACAAAGGGGTACCACTGGGAGGAGATGTGCCATCTAGGTCAGGCCCTGCAACTACCTCTGTCTACCAGGCCCCATTTCCTCCTGGCAAACCAGCAGAAAACCCCTACAGTCCTGTACTCTCGATCGCCTGAGTCTTTGAGGGGACAACTGTGTATGTACCCTAACACAGTGTGACCCCTCTGTCCACCAAAGCTCTACCTCTTCTGCCAGAGCAGGGTCTCCAGCATTCTTGCTCAGCTGGGAGTCAAAATTGCTGTGAACCAGTAGCTGTGAATACCCTTCTTTTAAAGGGGTTTTCAGAAGCATAATCCTGTGTCCTTGTTCCCACCTTGCATGTGGGGCGGGAGGCAACAATTTGATGATCTGATCCATGCCTCTGACACCAACTGTGAGACACTATTTCACATTGGACAGAGAAAATGCATCTTGCTCTGCACTCTCCCTGGACCACAGCCCACACCCACCTCATTAGATCCTGGCTCAAATGTCACCTGTCCAGGGGTGACCAAGCCACTCATTGTGCATCTCTGCCTCATCACTTTTCTGTCCCCTTGACCTTCCTTTATCCTCTCCTTACATCTTTCTCTCCCTGTGTAGCACTGTCTTGCTCCTTGCTGGAATGGTAACTCTCAGGGACTATCTTGATCTTGTTCCTAGCTTGTCCTAGTGCTTGTGCATGGTGAATATACTGTAGGCTCCTGATGAATATTTAGTGGGGAAAAAACTAAGTGATTATGAGTTTCTCACTTTCAAATGTTTAAAGTTAGGTTTGTTTGATTCTATTTGCTATTTATCTATACTAGCCCTAAAACCAATGACAGTTATTTGTGCATGAGAAAAATGAGTTTACTACTTATGAGGTGGCATCACAGGGTAGGACCGCTCACCAAAATTTTGTCATACTGGATGAGAAGTTATTGTTAAAAAAGCAAGATATTTGATCTCATTTGCTTGTTTGTTTTAAGAGTTAGACAATGGGGCTGAAGATGTAGCTCAGGGTAGAGTGCTTGCTTAGCATGTGTGCCACCCTGGGTTTTTGTCCTGGTTTGGCTTTCAGCACTCAGAAAAATATCATCTCTTTCTCTGAATGATCACCGGTAGTCATAACTGCAGCATAAATTCTTTTTCTGGGAAACATCAAATGGCGGATGAGGGAGGGCCTGGAGGCCCTAGTGGCCCAAGGAGGCCGCAGAGGTTTCTGCAGAGGCTTTTTAGCAGTGGCCTTTGAGGTCACAAGTGTGGGTGCAGCAGGGGCCAGAGCAGAGGCCATGGGGCTCACAGCTATAAGGCCAAGGACAAAGAGTAGGTTCCTGTCATCAAGCTGGGCCAGCTGGTCAAGGACATAATGATCAAGTCCCTGGAGGAAGTTTATCTATTTTCCTTACCCATCAAGGAGTCCAAGATTATTGACTTTTTTCTGGGCACACCCCTCAAGGATGAAGTTCTGAAGATTATGCCTGTGCAGAAGCAAACCCATGCTGGCTAGCAACCAGGTTCAAGGCATTTGTCGCCATTGGGGACTACAATGGTCATGTTGGCCTGGGTGTAAAGTGCTCCAAGGAAGTAGCCAGTGCCATTCATGGGCCCATTATCCTGGCCAAGCTTTTCATTGTCCCTGTGTAGAAAGGCTACTGGGGGAACAAGACTGGTAAGCCCCACACTGTTCCTTGCAAGGCGACAGGCTGCTGTGGCTCTGTATTGGAGCACCTGATCCCTGCCTCCAGAGACATTGGCTTCCTCTCAGTCCTGGTGCCCAAGAAGCTGCTGCTGCTGGCTGGTACTGATGACTGTGGCACCTCTGCTAGGGGCTGTGCTGCTACTTTGGGCAACTTTGCTAAGGCTACCTTTGATGCCATCTCCAAGACCTACAGCTATCTGACCCCTGACCTCTGGAAAGAGATTGTGTTCACCAAGTCTCCTTATCAGGAATTCACCGACCACCTTGTGAAAACCCACACCAGAGTCTCTGTCCAAGCTCCAGGAGTAGCTACAACATAAAGGGTTTGTGTTTACAACATAAAGACGTTATCTCCTGGGACCCAGAGTGGCAGAGAGCCGGTCACAGCCCATCCCCCAGCCCATCCCCCCCTGCTCTTGGCAGGCTGGGGGACTCTATACAAGTGCAGCCACAAATGTCAGAGAAGGGCACAGTCAGAGATGGCTTCCTGGGTGGGTAGTAGGCACCTGGTTGTAGAGAAGGGAGAGGAGTGGGGTGTTTCCAGGCTGAACAAATAGGTGGAGAAAGAGACATGGGAAGTAGTCTTGTGTGTATGCTTCAAACGTTTTGTCTCTCTTTCCTTCTGTCTCAGCTATTTAAGCTGAGGCTTCTTCCTTTCCAGTCATCCAGGGCTCCAGCAGAGCTTGTTCGTGAATCCAGTATAGAACCAATAAACAAGGAAAACAACTGAGAGGTAGCCAGTAGGGGGCTGGAACCATGCCTACATTGCGTTTGCAAAAATTTGATTTTCCGCAGAAAAAATATTTTGACTTCTACATTTTTGGACTTCATTAGAAGTATCTGAAATGGATGACACCAAGCTGTTTGCCTAAAATAACGTCCCCAGCCTGAACTGGCATGGATATTTCCTGAGATTAAAATAGAAATGTGTTTTGCTAACAGAAAACAACTTGGAAATCAAAGAGTCATTTAAGTTGGAAGCCTTCCTTTTCCTTTTCTTGCCGAAAAGTCCTGTTTTACACACACCAAGAGATCAGGATAGTAAGGTCATTCTGCTACAGAACTTTCCATTAACAATTTGAACCTGCAGACATCTCAAAAATAAGAAAAGCTGTGTGATGTATCAAATTCAATAAACAAATGTTTATGAGCACCTACTATGTGCCTGGCACTAGTCTGGGACCCAAACCAAGTACCTGCCCTCGTGGAGTCTGCATTCAAACAGAAAGAGTACACACACGCCGGAGATAAAATCTCCAGTAGGAGATGCGCAGTAGAAGAGATAAGTAGAAAGCAAAGACAGGGGTCATACGATGCGCAGTCTCAGATGGTGCTCCTAGGCGAGGTCACCTCTGAGCAGAGTGAGGGGTAAACCTGGCACACACTAGGGTCTGGGACAGCGCGGTCTGCGCAGTGGTGTCAGGGCAGGGCTGGCCAGTGAAGTAGAGAAACACGCGGAGGAGTGGGCATGAGGGGTCGGCTGCGCCCACGTTTTAACAGACCATTTAGGGGATTCGCCCTTTTGTCTTAGCTCGGAGCAATGCTGCTGCACGATTTCTAAGGATTCCCCAAAGGCCAGCCCTCCTGAGCACAGCGTGCTGCCTAGCGCCCGAAAGCGCTTTCGGGCCGGTCATGAAATTAAGACCCGAAATTCGGTGCCCGGCTGGCTCTGAGAGAGCAGCTCCGACCCCGGCTACACTTCGCCCCGAGACAGGTCCTGCTTTGGGGTCTCCAGCAAGCTCTGCGCCCGCTGGCAGCGCCCGTCCCGCCCAGCGCCGCCACCTGCTTGGAGCCCCACGCGGTCCCGCCCGGTGGGTCGGCCCCAGTCCTGTCCCCGCCCACCCAGGTGCCCGCGCCCCGCCCCTTCCCCGCCTTCCCGGGCGGCACCGCCCCTGGCGCGAGCGGAGCGGAGGACGCGGTGGGAGCCGAGCCTCAGAGCCAGCCGCCCGCCCGCTGGTCTGCACTATGCCGCCGCCGCTGCTGCCCGCCCTCGCGTTCGCGCTCGCCGCCTCGCTGTCCCTGCGGGCGGCCGCCGACTTCGACGGGAGGTGAGCGGGGCCGGGCCGCGCCGTGCGGGCGGGCGGACGGGCGAGGCTACGTCGGACTGGGCAGGGCTGGGGACCCCGCCCGGAGAGGGCGCTGGTTGGGGTCCGGGCAGCCGCCGAGGCGACCCCTCCAGGTGACCCGGGCGACGCGCAAGGTGTGGCGAGGGCGCTGACCCCCCGTACCACTTCACCACTCCCCCACTCGGACTTGTTGCGGGGCGCGACTGAGCGGGCGTTTGCGAGTGTGCAAGCATAAGTGAGCGTGCGCGCGTGTGAGCTCCTGGGTGTGAGTCGGTGACTCGCTACCTGCCCCAGGCCCACCGTGACAGGTCCCGCCAACCCTCTCAGAGTCCTGTCCGGCCCCGCGGCCCCGCGCCCAGACAGTCGTCCCGCACCAGGAACCCAGGGCTCTCCGGCGCTGCCGGAAAGCACACTGCTGGGAGACCCGCGCAGAGAGGGAGGTTGGACTTAGATTGGCGTTGGGGCCGGGGTGGAGGCGCAGGTGAGGCACAGGGAATAAAAGAGTTTAAGGGCAGGGGGAGCAGCAGGAGGCCAGGCCTCTGAATTGCACTGCACTGCGTTTCTAGAGATTCTAGGGACAGTTCCTCGTCCAGCTAGGCCATGCTGTGCATTTCTTGCACACACATTTACAAGATAGGTTCAGATAGTAATGTAACTTTAGAAGGATGATTGCAGCCAAATAAAATGGTGCCCTTCTTAGAGGAAAAACGCAATTAGGTGTGAATCTAAAGGAAACTGAGCAGCTGAGGGAGTCTAGCCTGAACGTGCTACTTTCTTTGGACGTCGGTTACACTAATGAGGAAAACAAAATCTATTAATGTGTTGGTGCAAGCACGCTTCAGCCCAGTGTTGAGGTCTTCCACGCTTTAAACTCTTTCGCTTTATTTAGATTTCTTTTTCTAGTGCTTACTTTCTCCCGTTCCTTTCCTTTCTTTTGCAGGGTTTTCTCTGGCTGTTTCATTTGGTTCTCAGGAAACTCCTCTCTCTCTATTCCTTCCTGTCTGCCCTTTCTATGAGACAAGAATTTCTTCTGCTTTGACATGTCTTTTATTATTCAATACTTTTCAGTTTATGATGAATCAGTCAAAACTGGTTTTCCCCACCCCAGTAACAGGTGTGAATCTTAGAGGAATCTGTTTCATCTCAAGCCTCCCAAACCACCCTGTGACTGGCAGACTTGAGGACTTTTGGTTTTAGCTGGTGCTATTTCTAGTTAGGAAAGGCTGTTACTCTTTATCCCTACAATGGTGTGCTGTGTGTGTGTGCGTGCACACATGTGCAGGCCTGCGTGTGATGTGTGTGTGCTTGCATGCTGGGTGTCTGAGATTTGATATTAGATAATAATAGAACTATTTCTGTGTCTTTAACCTTAAATTTCTAAGGCATGAAAGAGATGTAGGAGATTTGTTGGATGTGCTTTGATCTCCTCTAAAATTGTTTTCCATCTGCAGTGTCTTTATGTTGTTGTTTGTGTGTGTGGTAGGTGGCCCAGGCAGCTCGTGTCCTCGATTGGCCTCTGTCACTATGCTGGGAGGATTGACTGCTGCTGGGGCTGGACTCGACGCTCCTGGGGACAGTGTCAGCGTGAGTATCAGATCACGGACCCCGGGTTCCTGGGAGGGGGCTTCTGCCCGGGCCATGGTGTCAGCCTCATCTTCACCAAGCAGGACTTGGGGTACAGATCTGTCTCAGGCAGGCACTCAGAGTCCCTGGCCTGTCTGAGCCCCATGTTTAAGGGCTGCCACTCCTTTTGTACTTCTTTTGTACTCACCTGTTTCTTTGCTTCAGGCCCTGAGATGGAGTAAGATAAGGAGTCTAGACTAGACACTGTTTACGCTAAATAAACTTAGAACATTAGACTACTCCAAAATCTCCACCATGGCTGTTGTGTAAAGTGGGATATATATATGCAGATGTGCTGACAGTGTTCTTAATGGCCCACCCAGAGTAGTCAGAGAAGACCTCTGGAAAACATCACTGGAAGCTTTGGAAACAGTCAAACTTATAAGTATTGAACCAGTGCAATAGTTTCTGTTTTTTCACAATCAAAATGGACCTTATAGAGGTAAAATATCAGAGCTATATCACAAATGTTTGGAAAATTTGACAACTATTTAGAAAAATTTCCAAATCTTACCTCAATCTCAAAATTTTGACAGCAAATGACTGAATAAATACCTTTAGTTGGGGGCACAGGCAGAGACGAGACAAAGGGACTTACACTGGGTTGCACCCTGGTCTTTTCATCCCTACAAAGGAAGCAGCTCCAAGGACAAGAGGAAGGAGTTAAAGCTCGGCTGGTAGAGGAGGAGCTTGCCACACAGATAGCTGGCAGGTAAACTGAGGCCAGAAAGTTAAGCTGCCCTCAGCTGCCTTGATGGTTGAGGATGCTGGTGCGGTTTGTTCTCACCTCTGTGAGGGTGGGTGGCAGTAGGCACAGGGTGGCCCTGCACACACAGGCTGGTGTCTCTGGCAGCAGGGGATGGGATGATGATGGAGACGCATGCTTGTCTATCTGCTCTGTGCAAGCCACGAGTGAGACCCTTGACCCTGCCTGGCGTTCTGCTCCTTTGTTAGAATTGGGATCACTCTAGTTTCTAGTAAGTGAGAGAAGGAGGCAGAGATGCTGTGGCCCCGCTGCCTGGTCTGTTCATAGTGTGTCAAAGGAAAAGGGCCAGGAAGAGAGAGAATACCTGAAGGAAATTAGTCTTCTGCCAGTTAGATCAGAGCTGTGGGAGTGTTTGCATGGCCGGAGGCCAACAGGTGTGAAATTTGAGAAACCACTGGTGAAATAACTGAGAGTATCCCTGCCTGGGCCCAGGCCTAAACACACCCTCCCACATGAAAAGCAGGGAGTTTCTTCAGAGGAATGGAGAGTGTCTGCCTCCTTTGCTGCCATAATCAAATGCTGAAGTGCTGTAGGGTCCTGCAGGCGCCCGGCCGCACCCAGGACTGGGCTGCACTGGCAGAAAGCCCTGGGCAGCAGCGGGGCACCCTTCCCTTCTAAAGGCAGAGGTTGGGGAGCACAGGCTTCCTGCCAGATGCATTGAAAGGAGTCCAAGGGAAACACTCCCTGGATCTCTGGGACGGAGGCTAAATTCCCCAGGTAGCACCTCTTGGAGCTGTTCTGGTTTTCTGTATCATGTAACGAACTCTTCCCTAAGAGGCACTTGTTCAGCAATTCTGAATTTAAACATATGCAGAGACCTTGTAAAGTTACAAAGATATTACAGAGTTTTATCATTCGAGAGAGATTTCCTAGTGTTTTACTTTCCACATAGCTTTCCTAACAGTCACAGGATACTTTTGGCGTATTTATACTTTCATTTTGTTTCTAAAAGAAGGCAAAACAGACAAATATAGTATCTGCTAGTGTTTCTCTTCTCTCGTTATGCCACAGTGGTCTGAAAAAACTCTAGCATAGCATGAGCTAATTATTGAAATGGTCATGTTAGAAAAATGTATAAAGAGATTTTGCCTAAATCACAATTTTTGGCACTGAATTGGTGCTGTATGTGGATTTGGTAAAGTGAAAGAAATGGAAGAGAATATTGCTACTGAAATAGCATTGGAGTAAGGATGTATCTGAGTCAGCAGACAGTTGTAGAGTGGTTGTCACACTGATACTGCCAAAAACAAAAACGGTTCCAAAATTGTGTTTCAATAAAATAGGACTCCTGTAAAGTAAACAGGGGCCCATTGATTTTTTACCACTTACAATGAAGATGGCAAGTCTCTGACTCCAGAGACTTGTGTTTGTGTGTTTCTGTGTGTGTGTTTCATTTTTGTCCAGAATCTTGGTCTAAATGTCTCTGGTCAGTTCAGAGTTCCGCCTGTCTTTGTTTTCATGTAAACAGGTCGAGGAATGTGGGGCCAGAGGTCAGCCCAAAGGGGTAGAATAGCTCGGAAAAGATTTTGTGGGATGAAGGGAATATCATCAAACATTCCTGATTGTTCTTCAGAGAGATTTTATGAAATTAACAAGCCTATCAGGACATATATTCAAGGAAAATGCCCCATTATTGTGTAGCCATTAAATGTAGTAATGGATTACTTATAAAAATTCCTAACAGCAGCTAGTAAATTCCATGTGAAAAATAATTCTGGCCTTCTGGCCCCTCCACAGTCAGAGGGTTCTTTCTGTGAGGAGCAGCCTCCTTTCCTTATCAAAGGAAGCCTAGTGCTCTTTTCTGCTGAGTGACTCATGTTGGAATTTTCCTTCAAAACAGCACAGCAAAGCACAAGCAGTGCCCCCCTGTACGGCACCTCATTGGCTTGCTCAGGCGTGTGCACATGGGGTTTCCTCGTCATTGCTTGTTAGATCTCATGCCCCTGTCCAGCTACCCTTTGGTGGCTTGATGAGGCACAGCCCTAGTGAGGTTTGGCTCCATATTCAGGTGTGGAGAACTGAGAGCTGCATGTGCTCCAGCGCTAGCCTCCTCATGAACAAGTGTGGAGAGACTGGCATCATGGGACAGGAGAGCTGCCCTGTGCCCCTCTGCTCAATGTGTGTAGCCACAAACCCAGCCGGGGGACTTCCCTCCTTTGCTGTGGGGCTCAGGAAGGGGGATTCCAGATGGGCACCGCAGCACCCAAACTCAATTCCTGCCTGTCCTGAAGGCCCGGTACTCTCCCGGCCTTTCTGCCCCGCTTGGGAAATGTGGCCTGTTCTAAAATGGGTGCCTTGGGGGCTGGAGAGATGGCTCAGTGGTCTAAAGCACCTACTTAGAACAAGCTTGGCAAGGCATCAGTGGACCGCGGTTCAATCCCCCAGCACCACATGCCAGCCGGCCCCGCCCCCCTGGTGGGCTGAGCTGGCCACACACACACCACACTCTCTCTCTCTCTCTCTCTCTCTCTCTCTCTCTCTCTCTCTCTCAAATAATAAATAAATAAATAAAAAAAATCTAAAATGGGTGCCTTGTGTTGGCCGTCACAGCCTTGACTTCTGTGTCTGCTTTCATTCTTTCTTCTGTGACCTTGATTCATAAATTGATCTCTCGATTATAGAAAATTCCAAACTCAATTTTCTAGCTGTCTTGGGATTTACTGTTGTTGAATATTAATGTGACTCTTTTGTAAAAAAATTATTTTTTCTTAGTACATGTTTGCAGTACCTAATTATACTCCCTGTGGGGAGTGGTTCGTGCACATAACACCTTAATTCTTTTTACTTTCCCTTCCCCTCCGCCTTCCTCCATCTCTTGGTCCCTTCCAATCTGCAGAAGACCTACCTTCTTGCTTCCTATTGTCCAGTTCTTACTCTGCTCTTGAATTTACTTACACTTGGGGTTTCTCACATGAGAGAGGCCATGTCACAAGGAAGCTCATGTGTCTGATTTATTTCACTTAGCAATTTGGTCTTAAGGTGCATCCATGTCTGAGTTATTCTTCTCTTGTTGCTGGGACAAATACCTGACACTCAAAATGAGGAAAGGAAAGGTTTATTTAGCTCACAATTACTAGAGGTTTCAAGACGCTGGAGGGGAGGCTGGGGCGCTGCCGTGGCCAGGATGACCCTCCCCACATCCCTGAGAAAGCACAGGCTAGCCAGTTTAAAGGTTTGCGGTTATTTTTTTTCTGGCCCTGCCCCCTAGGCCCCGCCCTGATCCCCTGGTCCCTCCCCTTGGGCCCCTCCCTGATACTCTGGCCCTACCCCTCAAGCCTCGAGGCTACTTTTCTCCTTCTACCAAGGGAAAACTCAGTGCCTGGGAGATGGCTCAGTGGAATAAGCATTTCTTTGGCAAGTTCAAGGACCTGAGTTCAATCCCTGGATTCTAGGGGGAAAACTTGTGCGATAGGGGTGTCTTGGATTTGTATGTTCTACTTTAAAAGCTGCTGTGTGCATATGGTTCTTACATAAACACACTCAGACTAGGAAAAGTGTAGGCATCTTGTTATGTTTCTGTCAGAGGTCTGGGAAGCCAGAAAACGTGTAAGTACAGGTTGACTTTGCTTTTGTAGTTCTGCCTCCCTGTTCCTCTATTTCTTCCATACCATAAATAAAGGCTGCAGCTTTATTAATGTCATGTAAGGTGAAAATATCATTTTTTACCAGCTTTAGAAAAACTTACAGATTAGTGAAGCATAGGGAATTGGGAAATAGTATTTAGAAGTTATTTTGCAGTGGTCAAATAATTGTGAAGGAGGTTGTTTTTTTTTTTTTTTCGGCTACTTCAGGCTGCCTTAAGGGCAGGTCGGGTACCACTTCTGGAGCTGGGAATCGAACTGCGGTCCTATGTGCCTGCCTGCATTTACCCAAGTGGCACTTTAAACAGCTGAACTATCTGGCAAAGCCCAAGTGGTCAAATAATTGTATTTGGAGAGTGTATATTACTAGCAAATGGTGAATTGGAAAGATTGATAGCCAAATTATATAATTATTTATGTATCTCAAATGCAAGGATCTTAGTTTCAGCATAGAATTTTGGGTGAGTTATTTAAATTTCACATTTAATTTTTTGTATCTGGGTCCAGAAGCAGTCTTATAAAAGGAATGTAATTATTAATTTTTGTTAGCCTTGACTTCCCCTCCCTAGTCTCAAAATTATGTAGATTATAACTTTCTTTGATATTTTGAGTGT